TGCCTCCAGCCGAGCCACATCCCTCCTCGGCCATTGGCACGTTCCCCCAGCCACCGGTGCTTGAGCGAAAGCCGCGCCGTGGGGTCACCGTGCTGGCATCGTCCCCGTGCTGGGAGCCAGTCTGTGCTGTGCGAGCCGTCCCTCCTGCATAGTCCTGCTGGTGTCCTCCGTTTGCTCGAGCCCTGTGTCTCTTTGGCCAGTCGCTGGATGTACCATGGAAGCACGCAGTTGGCACTAAGGTAAGGCCTTGATTTCATTTTTTTAGGGTGGTTATCGGGGGAGTCCTTTCTCCTGGCCGCCTCGCTCCAAGATCTGAGCAGCTCCTGGTGTTAGCTGCACAGCTTGCCCGTCTCCTGCTCCACCGCGTTGGGCAGCTTGGCGTTGAAGGCCCTCAAGGAGGACTGGATCCTTGCCACCTCGTTGTTGGCCAACTTGAGCCTGTGGCGGAGCAAGCAAGTGAAGAGGTCGAGGCGGGTTTTGCCAGGGGGTGACAACCTGTTCACCCGGTCCCTGATCTCCAACAGCTGGAGCATGGCTGAGTCCTGGGAGCCCTGGGTGTAGGGGTAGTCCAGCTGGAGGATCAGGTCCCGAATAGCGTCTGGTTCAAAGGGCAGGCTGTAGCCGAAGACTTGCAAGCTGTTGATTTTCATGTACCCCAGGTTCTTGGAGGGATCTGCCATCTCCAAGGGTTCGTAGTAGATTGTCTCATTGGAGCTGTTGTCCAGAGACTTGATGCGGCTCCGCAAGTAGACATGGACCGTTTCAAAGAAGGTCTTCCACTTGTTGCCCAAGGTGAGCGTCCAGTTTTGGCACTGGGCAGAGGCATCTACGTTAGTCCTTTCCCAGTCTGGGAAGCTGCCCTCATTGATGGGCATGAACCAACTCTCCGAGTGGCTTCCCCCGAAGGGGTTGACGTAGATGGCCATGACGGGCTCCAGCGTGCTGTTCTTGGTGAGGCAGATCTGCAGGGAGAGGGCCAACATCACGTGAACCAGCCCGGGCTTGTACTTGTTGCTCTTCAGGGTCAAGAGCATGCGCTTCCTCCAGGAGGGGTCAAACCAGTTCCCCAGGCGCATGTCGTTGCTGATGAAGATAGAGTGCACCTCGATGCGGCTGTCCCGTTTCTGCAGGAGGTACTTGAGCTCCAAGTCCTGCAGGTCCGTCTCCAGCCCCAGGTAGTGCTCCAGCGAGTCGGCCACCTCGGGGCGGCAGAAGCCCTGGGTGAGCACGTAGCCATGGTTGCAGGTCCCGCAGCGGGTGCTGTTGTCCTCGGCACAGCTGGCACAGGCTGGGCCCTCGCCCAAGGCACACGGTATGGACCCCTGGCAGGAGGGCTGGTCGGAGGGACACGTGCAGCTGCGGCTTTCTTCCAGGAAGGTCCCAGGCACGGTGGTTTCACTGCAGTAGAGGAGTGACTGCGCGCGGCTCCACCAGTAAGGGAGGGACCTGGTGGAGAAGAGATGCTTACATGGCATCTTTCGGGGCGTGACTGAATTTCCCTAGGGACGGAAGAGCTGCCCACCTTGTGTTTGTTTTTCTGCACCACTGGTGGCCCCACCATGAACCGAGCCCCTCTTTCCACCTCCCGGTTTGGACCCAACCTCTCAGGACCAGAGGGATGTGGTCACCGCCGGGCATCCCTCCATCTAGGCGGGAGCTCCCCCAGCCCCAGCCACGGGGAGGTGGGTGGTGGGCCTGAGCCCCCCTCAGGGGTCCAACTGGTGTCCCCGGTGTGGGACCCTACCTCTCCTTCGGCAGCTTGAAGTGAGGTTGCCGGTGGCAGCGTTTGCTGAGGTTGAAGAGCCGCCGGATGAGTCGGTGGGTTTTCCTGGAGAGCAGCTTCAGGCTGGTGCCCAGCTGCTGGTAGCGATGCTGAACATCCAGGTCCATGGCCCAGAAGTGGGAGATGGCCGTCCTGTTCAGGAAACGGTCCCCGGGGAGCCTCTTCACCAGGGCCTGAAACTCCTCTGCAGGGGACAGAGATGGCATCAGCAGACCCAAGAGAGCAAGCGGTGAAGGTGGGGCTGGAGCCAACCACCCTCCGGCCGGGCTCTCAGGTCTTCATGGTGAGATGACCACCCTGGAGCCCCACCACCCAGCCTGGGCTGCTCCCAGAGGAGGGGCGGCCAGGGATGG